TTGTGGAATGAGCTCCCTGTCGAGGTTTTCCCAAGAGACTACAGCATGGGGTTCTTCAAAAGGGGGTAAACAGGTTTCTTCAGGTTCGGCAACGCACGCGTAATACCTGATATTGCAGGTGTTCATAGGCTACGGTAACCACTTACCATCAGGCGGGCCGTATGCTTGTTTGCCACCTCAGTGGTATAAAAAAAATTATTCCCTATATTGTGTAATGCAAATAAAGAATATAGAGTTTATTCAACTCATTTTAAAAATTCTGTCATCTATAGGAAACTACTATACTAAACTACACTTAGCAGCAAGTAATATAAACTGACTTACCGTGCTATCTCGACATAGGATAGGTCACCCGTTGTAAGAGGCAACTAAAATAACTTAATGGTCAAGGGATGGGCAGCAGCGTCCCTTTTAAAACATCACAAAAGGCTTACTGCGGTTGCCAATCCAACTACCAAGCGTGGCAACTACTGGCACACCCCTTTTAGGGGAGGCCTATGTTCAGCAGTGAACAGTAGTATAGCTTTTTTTTTATACGACTTAGAATGGCAAACAAGCTGATAGCCCACCTGATGGAAAGTGGTAACCGTCGCCTATAGACATGAGCAGTGCCATGGACATAACAGAGTATACTGTTTCGCCCATGATACCCCTATGCGTTGCCATTCCTGAGGACTCAGGTGTTATTCCTCTGTACCCTGTAAATTCACGCCATATCCTTCCACCCTTCCAACCGAAACACAGCCATGCAAATACAACTGCTTCACGGTAGAAACACGAATGGGACAGGGGTACCCAAGCAATCGACTTTTATACAAAGTCTCCCTCTGATATGATGATAGTGATGAATATAGACTCTATATTACGTTCGAAAATTTTATCCGTGTCGGATCATTAGTTAAGTAACAATAGCAGGCTCTGTGAAAAATAATAACTTTAAAATAAAGAATTAGCTAAATCGGTTCACGTGATTTATACAAAGACTTATAAAAATACATAGAATTTGGGAACCTTGTTTGAGACATTTTCACTTTATTCTCTTAAATAATGGCAATTTTGTCGATTACATTTTCCTACAAATTTGCTTTAAATTTAAATCACCTTTATTCAAATAGTCTTGTGAAATATCACAAGTCTTTCGAAATCGTAATCTTTTATTATTCTACTGTTGTTGAATGTTGTTGTTGATTTCATATATTTATAATTTTTTTAAATTTAAATAATTTAGCTTCATAGTGTATTAAGATTTATGTATCTCTTTTAAAGTAACCTTTTAAACTATTCTGTTTCCACAAGTAGTGTTTGTAAAATATACTGGTCCTTATTATATATTATTTATTATATTAGTTGTAAAATAAAATGCCGTCTGTTGACTTGAAGTATTGTATGTATTTTTTTTTTTGTTCTTTTTCAATTGTTTATAAATAATCTTTTTTTTATAAAAAAAACTACAATTGTCAGTATATAAAAAGGTTAATTTCGAACAAGTAGTAACACGAAATCAGTTTCAAATTTATCCAGCTGTGATAAAATAGTAAGAGATATAATATAAATGCATTAATTAATATACTGACTACAGTATTTTCTTGTGTTGGTGGAATTTTTAATGACCGCTAAGATCGAGTAAAATTATTGACTTGTATTTATATCATCTCTTACTACTACTTCATTCAGTTTTCAACTAACATTGATCGCCTCTTTCAGTTTGTCTGGATTTTGATGCTGACTGTTATTGGTAAATAATGTTATTACATCGCCTCATTGCTTATAAGCTTTTACAGTGTAGCAGGCTGCCTTCACAATCGTACCTTCTCCAGAATTAACAAGGTCGCCTTTCAGCGATAGGACAATATTAGCATATGTAATTTTATTATTGTATATATCTTGAGAGCTATGTATTTGGGGATTGGACGTTATAGCTTATTTTTTATTGTGCAACTTAGAGTCGAAAACTAGCTGACGACTCACTTGATGGAATGTGGTAACCGTCGCCTATAGACATGAGCAGTACCATGAATATAACAGAGTATACTATTTCGCCCATGATACCCCCCATGCGTTGCCATTCCTGAGGATTCAGCTGTTATTCCTCTGTACCCTGTAAATTCACTGACATATCCCACCCTTCAAACCGAAACGGCCATGCAAACACAACTGCTTCACGGTTGAAAGATGAATGTGACAGAGGTGCCCAAGCAAACAACTTTTGTACAGTCTCCCTCTGGTAAATTGGTTGTACATAAAAATTACATTGTAATTTATATTACATGAAGATGTACAACAGGTGAGTTATCTTCCAGCAAACCCTGAGTGGAAAGGAGCATTAATTATCAACGGGCAGTGTGCGTACAATAAGAAGTGGAAACAGTATAGTACTAGTACTTATTATTATTATATTATATATTTATTATTTCTTAATAATGAATAATAATATAATATAATTATAAATACTATTAATATAAATATAATAAAAAAATATTGCACCTAAAAATGCTACTACTCTCAAAAGTTGCATGTATAATTTGTTATTTTAACGTATATACATAAATATAATATCGTATATTTATAGAAATTGATCGAACTTCATAATTGTATGTCAGATTATGTTTGAAAACGGAGTCAATTACTTTTTTATAACTTATATTAATTGTGTTTTTAATTAAAGTTCGTTTACATTTGTCCATAAAAAGTCTCTCACATTCCCTTTGATGTTGAACAGTTTAATTTTAATCACTTCAACGCATATAATTATAACATTTCCTTGAGGTTTATAATACCTCATATATTTATTTAATCTCTTTGCTACTGTATTTTATATGAATTACTTGTAAACAACAACAACATTTCAAAATGATATCAACTTAATATTCATTAGTCGGTCGATGTTACACTTTACTTGGGTAATTTTATATACCTATTTGCTGGCAGTAAAGTTTTGTGCTTTGCACTTGCTTTTCTTTTGAATACATAATACAATGTTTCTTATGATTTTTTAATATAACATATGTTAATAGAATACAAAGAATTACGCCTTTTTATTATTTCGAGTTTTAGTTAGTTTATTTATTTATATGCGTTTGTACATTCACTTTTAATATACACAGATATTAATTAGGTTATAACAAAAATGTACACAGGTGGACTTATCACTTAAAGGAATTTTTTCCAGTCAACCTTGAGAATCCGAAAGGAGAAAGTATTTATAGGGTTTTTATATAAAGCATAACATACTCGTGTATGGTACATTAGTTTATTATATATAATAATTAATCTATCTATTTGCGTAGTAAACATACATACATATAGATAAATTTCATCATTTTATAATAAAATCCTAATCTTACTATTTGATGAATGTAGTAGGATTTTATTTAGAAACGTAGGAACTTATCTTTGTTTTTTTTTTTAAATTCTAATAATGTTTAGGTGTTGTTATTTGTATGTATATGACTCAATCATGCTTTAAATTTTGATTATATATTAATAATAAATAGTTTCGTATATGTCAACCATCTATATGACACTTTCATCTCATTTTTCGTGGGCAAATTTGGACTAGTATTACTTATTTATTTTATTATACTTGGAACAATAGAAAGCTTTCGACAACATTGTACTGACTCACTCTCAACCTTGTACCACTGAAGAATATTTTACTCCTATTCATTTTTATTAATATTAATAACGCTCCTTAAGTAGCACAAGTCAATTACTACTTGTCAAATAAAATCGCTACTTCATTCGCTAGCATTATTTGCGTAGGAGTTCCCCAAGGTTCACTAATGGCGCCATTGTTATTTTGGTAAAATGAATATTACAAAAATACATGTGGTGAGTCTCCAAATATTTTATAAATGTTTATGAAAGTTTTAAATTAATAATAAATAAAGCCGTGTGGTCTGGGCATAGAATGGGCCACCCCTTCCTTTTCCGTGGGTGTTGTAAGAGGCGACTAACGGAATTAAATGGTCGAGGGTTGGACAGTGTCCCTCTTAAAACACCACCAAAGTCTAACTGCGGTTGTCAACCCGTCTGCCAAGCGTGGCAAATACTGGCAAAATCCCCTTTTGAGAGAGGCCTATGTCCAGCAGTGGACTGTTAATGGTTGATATGGTAATGCATATAAAAATATTATTGTAAAATAATGATTACATTGTTCGAATCTCTCTCTAATATAATCTGTCACTGTAATTTAATTTCAGTATACCACTTTTTATTAAAATATAGATTTTACATAGATATATAATGAAGAGTGGGAATCACGTATACAAAATAATATGTAAATGTACCCATAAGGAAATTGAATCTAAATCACAAAATAGAATAGACTAAAATTAAAATTAATACATAGTTCATAGGGAATGCTAGTAAAGTGGTATTCTATTAAAAAAATTGATATTGTAATACAATATAAAAAATATATTGTACGAGTATAGAAAATTGACTCATTGCCTATTTTAATTCCATTCTAATTTCTAAGCAATACGAGTTTCTTATGTACTGGGTATGATTATTTCATTCAAAATTTTACACACATTTCTATTTATCTCTTAAGAGACAATATCTATTTTATCTCATTATAGATTCACACACACATTCACACATACACATTCACACACACACACACGCATACATTTTTATCACAATTTCACTGAACCCATAAATTATTGTTTCTCTAAAATTATGGGCTCCATTGTAATTTTTGTTTTTGTATTTGTTACTTCTTTGTTTCATATTGTTTCATTAAAAATGTATAACAACAACATGTGAAAGAGGGCACTAACTCCTGAAACAGAGGTTTTTTCATACCTACCTCGGGAGTTAGGGACTTCAAACTATATTGCAACAAAGAGTGAAATAAAGATTATTTATTTATTTATTATTATAGATGAATTTAAAAACAAATACAAAAACGCCTTTGAGATATGATTTTTCAAAGTGTTTACTATAGCTTTAGTCATATATATTTAATTACTCAAAATTGATTTTCTAAATTACAGGCTGCTAGCGCTCTCTTCACCCTTGACGGAGCCCGAGGAGAGGCTCTATCTCGGCATTTAGCCAAAAGAGAGAGAAGGAAGAGACACTGCAGAGCGATACTGGCCATCATTGCGCTATTGCTTCTCCTGGCTGCAGTTGGAGCCGTGGAGCTGCTGATGTCTAGGGGACAACGAGTCTTCGGCGCTGTTCTTCGCTGATATGTAACCATTTTATGTATCTACCTTAATATTCCTTTAAGGTTTAGGTAAGCAGTGTTTAGCACATCAAGGGTGTAAAATGAGAACATGTTTTATAGTGGCTTTGTTCGTTGGCCCGAGATTTATTAAAATTAATACAATTGAATGTCAATACAAAGATAAATAGTAGATTATATCGTTTTCTATCCCAAATAGTAAGTCCATGCTGATTGATTGAACCAAACATATATATATATATATATATATATATATATATATATATATATATATATATATATATATATATGCCGTGTGGTCTCGTCATAGAATGAGCCAACCCACCTGTTTAGAGTGGCAACTACTGGCACAACCCTACTTTAAAGGGGAGACTTATGTCCAGCAGTGGACAGTTAACGACTGATATGATGATTGTCTACTAAAACTTTGGTTCTTCAAAAGGGGGGTAAAGAGGTTTCTTCAGGGTCGGCAACGCACGCGTAATACCTCTGGTATTGCAGGTATTCATAGGCTACGGTAACCATTTACCATCAGGTGGGCCGTACGCTTGTTTGCCACTTGTGGTATTAAACAAAATAATAATATTAAGAGCCTACAAACATTTTACAGTAAATATCTCGTACATAAAACGTGTAAAGTTGCAAACAATCGTGATGTAAGTTTACAATTTATTAATAGTAATTAAAAATTAATGTATGCTATAAATAAATTTAATAATAATACAATAACATTATTAATTTGTCACGTATTTTCTTTTCAGGAAGATTATTCGCGCCGTCCTCGTTGATCTGGCATGGAATCCATAATACTATGCAGCAACTGTCTCTGGATCCACAGAACTGGTTTCAGGTCGACATTTTTTACCTTACCAAGGTCTGATTTAAAATGTTGTCTTAAATCACATGCGATATCACTTTAAATGGACAAGATACTCGTGATAACTTTGCGTGATTGTAGTGTAATGAAACTGTTAACATGTGACTAATTATGTTTTTAACGCCCTTTCACTTAGGTATTATTGAAAGGATTATTTTAAACAACTTTCGAAAGAATTTTTAGAATTCGTTCGAGTTTTTTGTGCGACTGTTTTACTCGATTACGTCGACAATTCTGTATTGATTTTTTCCGTCCGTCTATCGATTTCGGATCGATGGGATTTAATACACTGTTAATTTCTACTATTAATTTTGTAATGATTGAAAATGCCATTTCACTCTGTAGAGAGAAAAAAAACAGTTTATTGCGAAGCAAATTGTACTCTTAGAATTATATTTCGCGTTCTAAATTCGAATATTTTAAATGTTATGCTCCTACGAAACATTTTATTATTTTTCTACATATTTCAATGCTATCGAATTCGGTGTTTTTTTTTTTGTTATTTTGAGCAAAAGGTACTTTTTGGGTCTCTTTTTAGAAAACTATACTTATGTAAGTTTGTATAAGTTTTTTGTTCCAGTTTGAGATGTATATTGGTTCTTGATTTAAAATAAATTTATATCTGACTCCAATATTTTTATTAATTAATTTTACAGTAAACTAGATAATTGAACGGAGACAATTTTTCACCGTTGAAAATACAATAAGTTACAGTTAGTGATGGGACGTTACTCGAAGTCGATCGCGATCGACTAGTGATGCGCTTGAATATTATCAAATAATAACGATTCTTTGTATCTATTTAGGGTCAGCGTAATATGTTTGCTTATTCCATTCATCTTTATTTGCAGTTATCTTAATATTTATTTATTTATTCATAAGAACACCAATAGCATATAATACATATAACAAACATTAAATAAAATATGAATACACACACACATACTTATATTTAATTACTTTCTAACCATATCATCTTTCACACAGCCTATTCATCTATTTATAATTGTATCTTGACTATTAGAAACACATCAATAAACATCAAATACGTAGGTACTAAATACCTATAGGTCTACCATGAAATGAGAATCTGAAGTTTCAGACTCGTTTTTGTGTTTTCGTTCATACTATAATCGGTCCAATAACCTTGACATTTCAAAGGCTTGACATTTCTTTCGTCAAAAATCCTACCATAAAAAGTGTTACCATAAAAAGTCCAAAGGAACGATATTTTAACATTTTTAATATTTTTAAACGGTATGTATCGTATACTTTCAATACTAAATTTGTATTCGAATCGTTCAAGCAAAATCAAATCGTTCAGTCCCGAAATTTTGGAAAACATTTCATGGTAGGCGCTCTGTAATTATGTCACTTTAAATCCCGCTCGTAAATTTAAAAACCACAAAAATGAATTACCGAATAGATGCAGCCATTTTGAAGTAATGTGCGTAGATAGATTCGTCAATTGATTTTTATTTATATAGCATTCATATATACCATTATTGTGTTAACAGGAAATACCCTCATTTTATAACTTTTTAATATGCTCATATCAAATTGCTACTATTACATACTTAAGTACTTATAACTTTAAGTATCAAGATTGCATAGACTTGGATTCCACTATCGAAATTTTATTATAAAATTGTATAGTGTTATAAATAATTAGTTAGCGTAATTTAGTATATTTAATTAATGTTTAATAAATATTGCAATATATATGCCAAATTTACGCAAATGTCGATATGTTTACGCACATTATATTTTTTAGTTTCAGCGGCGTAATTTTATAGTATCTTTCTATACTAATAATGTAATAGATATAAAGTTTAAAGTCATGATATTATATCCTACATTATTATTTACCTCTTTATTTATAAAACTTAAAACCTTCTGCAAATCTATTTTAACTATTACACTGTTTTGTCTTTTTCTTTCAAATTAATAATTTAGCACAAAAAAATGGAACAAAAAATTCAATAGCTAAAATAGGTTTATTTGACATATTTATGAATAAGGGGATTAGTGTCATGGCCGTAGAATATAACGCGTAAACATGTCGAATATCAGTCGCGTAATTTCGGCAAAATATTATGTCGACATTTTGTTTGACTCTTTTTTATTTTCTTTAATTTTTGTTTGTAAATACCTATTATATAGTGTGATTTTATTTAAAATTGGTAAGTGAATAAAAAAAGTTGTTTGTTTATCTTGTTCGACTGTAAGCAGAATATACTCGACCGTCATTCACACAAATAAATAATACATTGACAACATAAAAACGTGTCTAAAAATCAATCCTGGATGAACTAGGGTAAACTATTCTTGTATCAAATATTATTAAGTATAGCTTGTGATAATAGGTACATCTACAATTATTTCTTTAATTTACGTAGCGTAAATTTAGCATTGTATTATTTTAATTGGCTTATAACTTTGATAGTGGGATGCAATTCATTTAAAATTTCAATTAAAGGCTAGGTCGCCTTGGCTCAGTCTTTTATGTTTTGTATTTTTTTAGTAAAGATTTTTGTGTAATAAATAATGATATAAGAACTATTTTAAGTAAATCAAACAGTGTAAAGTAATATTTATTTATTTAATTTAATAAAAAATTATATACATTATCAAAATTTCAGGAAATTATGATGTCTATTTACTTAATTGAGATAATGATTTTGTTGTATGTACAGTTATTTTGTTTTTTAATTTGAAAAATTGATTTACATAATATTCAAATAGATTTTTGTAAGCACCAAAATGTATTGATATTTTTTTTTAGTTTTCTTTATTGGTGCCATAAGCCGATTCTAAATAATTATGTAATAATGATATCAGTTATTAAAAAAAAACAACAACAAAATAAATATGTATTTTGTATTTTTTTAAATATATCTTACTTTTTCATCATTTTGTACACTAATATTGCTATATTATCGTATTATACAATATTATTATCTAAAAACCAATTTATTTAATTATTAATGATAACATAGTCATATATTACATATAATAGGCACAGAAGAAAGTACGAGAGCAAAACAATTAGTGTTAATGTTAGTATTAATCATTATTAATTACTTTTATTTTCTATGATTTTTTATATAATTGATATTATTTATAAAATAATATTATTTTGTATTAAATTAATTTGTGATGTAGAATAATGAATACGTACCTACTTATACATTGTGATTTATGTACCTTTGTAATTTGTATTAAATAATATTTGTACAGATTGTTAATAAAAGTGATAAATTTGGTGGTATGTCATATTAATCATTTAATTAATTTAGAATGAAAATTATTATCATTCTGTACGAAATTGTATCCATAAATATATGATAGCACAAAGTGCGATTATGTTTTATATTAATTAAACTATATAAATTAATTATGTTTATTTTTATTTACAATTACCTATTTTCTTATATTATATATGGAGACACTCCATACAAATATCGTCAAATGTTCGAGAAAAGAGGGTCAACTTTTGCGTACAATTTTACATGATAAATAATAATGAGTGTTTTTTTATAACTTCTATATTTATTATTACTTATAATTTTTTAACTTTTTTTAATGCATAAATAATTAAGTATATAGTCTCCAAGATACAGGTTTGGCCCAGTTTGGGGACTGGTGGTAATGCAGATATTTTCTCGTTGAATATAAATTGTAAAAATTGTAAATTGTACCTTATGCAACTGTATCTTTCTTAAATAAAATTTAATATTTATTATTATAGTATAGATATGTCAAGATACATTGTGTGCTTAAGCATATAGAACACTAATCAAAAAACGAATCAGCTAATTGACAATTAACTGACAAAAAGTTGACCCATTTTTAAGTCTCGATCCTTTATCTATATAATGTAAGCCTATTTCATGGTAAAATATGTTTTAATCGAACCATCAAATGTTCACATCAAATTAAATTAAAATCTTTTCAGTAGTTTTTACATGATTCATGCACAGAGTCAGTTTACAAGTCGCCCAATCATAACATCATCATTGATAGATACGTTTTCGGTACCGTATAGATGAGATAGAAAAAGAAAGTAATATCTGACTTATCTAACTTTCCTATGTTTGTAGTACGTTTGCTATTATTTTTTTTCCTAGGGGGCTGGGAACAATAAATCATAGACTTTGTAAAAACAGTTATACGGTTGCATAATTTATTTACATATAACATAATTTAAACATAAATGAAACAAATATGTTGTTTTATTTTAATAAAAATAAAATTATTTTTGATCTCGAAATATTATCAAGTATCAACTACCTGGAAAATTAACCTCATTGAGTTATGTAAAATATAATAATGTATATTTGAAATGCATTACATCTATTAATGTTTACAACATAATAAGTACATAGTATCGATTCGAGTAACACTTGACATGATTCAAGTTTATTTTAAGTTACAATATCATAATAATTATCACAATACAATCACTTTCGAGTCAGTATTAGAAATTAGATTATTCCGCGAATATAACTTCATCCATTCTTTGGTCATGTGCATCCACTGGCACTTTGTCCACTAGCTGACAATTGAAGGCTATTGCTACCACCTGGAAACCGATAAGAGGATGTACATATTTAGGAAAACATATATTTTTAACGTTTTATACGTAATTTTACGTAATTTGACTTCCGTGACGCAGTAATTAGCATGTTGCTATGCGTAAATAAGGTTCGGGGTTTGATTCCCGTGTGTGTGTGTGTGTGTGTGTGTGTGTATGTGCGTGAGTGCGTGCGTGCATGCGTGCGTGCGTGCGTGCGTGCGTGCGTGCGTGCGTGCGTGCGTGCGCGTGTGGGCGAGCACGCTTGTGTGTGCGCGTGCACATGCTGGCGTGCGTGCGTGTGTGTTTGTGTGTGTGTGTGCGTGGATGCGTGCGTAGGTACGTACGTGTGTCCGTGCTCTTTCTCAGCACTCGCATTTAGATGGGCATCAATATTATGGTAATATACGTGTGAAAATCATTAAAATCATTAGCAACTTTTTAAAGATATATAGAAAAACAAGAAAATATTACATTACAATTTTGCTTATGGAACTCTCTCTTTCTTAAATTAAATACGCTTCTTGGTCGAGTTCTGTACCTTAAGTGAATTTGCAGGATCGTCTCGTAATCCAGCAAGATATTTGTCGTAATACCCGCCTCCGTGTCCAAGTCGATCGCCGGAGCGCGTAAAGGCCACACCTGGGGCTATTATTAGATCTAAACCACCTGAAAATTAAAAGTGACTGATATAATCTGAAAAGTTGGAAAGACCATATAGCTTGAACAATCGATAATGAAGAATCTTCCCCAACAGTTATCAGTTGACGAAGTTATCGAGTGGTAAGCTGGGATGACAATGTCTAAAGTTTTGTAAACAGTACTGTCGTTGACTGCAAATGGTGCAAGATCGTATGTTGTCGCAAAATATGCAATTCAAGTTAATACGTTTCTTTAGTTTGCATAAGGATTTGTATAATCTAAATACTATATAATATCAATATTTTTGACACAATTTGACATACTGACCTTGCTTCCTCATGCTAAGAACCATATAATTAAACTTCAGGAATCATAAAAAACGAGGAGTATTATAGGCGATACTTTAACATGGTAGGTATTATTCATGACTATAGACGATGACCTAGATATGCCTAATAGGAAATGTCTTATATGATGTTTAATTTATATAGAAACTACTTTAGAATCAATGTATGTTTAAAACATTTTATAATCTGTGTTCTTGTAAATAATATGAGATTTAAAGTATATTATTCTTTTACATAAGTGGATTGTAAAATATAATGACAATAATTGTCTAATTTTACTTTTGTTTAGCTATTTAATATATTTTATTTTTATTAATTAAATATTACGTTAATATTAACATTTCTTTGTGTTTAATTTAATCTATTTTATTTACATATAATTTATTACATGTTGTATCAGTCATTAACTGTCCACTGATGAACATAGCATATAGATGACGACACATATAAGACATTTCCAATTAAGCAGACGGTTTATTTGTCATATAAAATTACGTAAAAAAGATTGTTTTACATCAATCTGATAACATAATATAACAATATTATCTGAGTATGTATTTTAGTCAATTGTGTGTTTAGCGATATCAGAAGACAATACTTTGTCATTCAGATATTATCTTTGATTATTTGCGTATTACGATTACAGTGGAATCGATCTCTTTTTACAAAGGCCATTTAAATCGATATCTTATGATCACATTGAGATAAATAGCTACTTATTTCTTCTTCTTATACATTAGTCTTCTGTTTCTATTGTAATTATTATTGATATGCGCCAAATAAAAATGTTTCATCCTTTATTACCAAACTATCCAAAGAGTTTTTGTATGAGCTTTTATTTCTAATTTCCCTTTTAATTTACTAGTGCATTGCACTTTGTTCCCTTGGTCGACTCTTACGGTATACCGGCGTAAAAACAAGTGGTAATACATCGAAAATGTAATACACGAAAATGGTGTTGACGGTAGGTATATACGTAGAATACTTTTGAGATCAGCCCTCCTAGAAAAAGTACAGACGAATATATTGATAGTATCGGTAGTGAGTTCATGACATACGATAAGCAGCAACCATGGACGTAGCTAAATGGAGGGGGGGGGGGGACGTTGAGGGCAATGCTCTACCTTAAAAGGCCCAATGCCCCAAGAAAATTAGACAATTCGCTTTTTCGAAGTCACTCAATTATGGTTTACACTTCGGTCTATGTTAGCTAAGGCCCTGGCGCCAACTAAAACGATACTATAGATAGAATCGTTTGTTTTAGAGAAACTTCAGATGGAATAAGACAGCAAACGTACTATGTTTGCGTCTCCGTACTCCTAAAATCCGTACCAGAAATCCTCCTCTTTTTGCAGTTCCAAACAACCATACCAATTACTCTCAGAACTCAATAGTTTGTCGTTTAATGAATTCATATAACAAACTTTTTTCAACAGTGGATTTATTCCATCTCAGTAGATATAAATTCAGGGCTGTGATAATGGATGAAATAACATCATAATTACCTATGTTGCATATATGTACATGCACGTATATACACTACATATTTACATTTATTTATATCATACTATTATACATTTATTTATATCACACTACACATACACCTACGCATACATTCAACCCTCTTTACAATTGGTGACCATGATTTTGTATTATTTAATCATTGCTGTCAATATCTGAACTTTAACAACATGAATTTAATTATTTTATATATCAATTAACTTAACTTTATGGACACTCACTATTATATATGGGTTCCTTACATACATGTGCTTATATTACTTGCATACACCCACTCTAACTTGCCTACCTCGCTATGGAATCAAAATTTTTGTTTGTATAAGTAAAATCCGTTATTGGCTGTATTCATAAGAGACTTAGCATGTAAGTTATTTTTTAAGAGCTGTGGATTTTTGTATAAAATAAAATAAAAAAATAAATAAAAAAATGACTCGTTCTAACTCATGGATTCGCTTGCGATAACGTTTTTTTTTGTTGTTTATTTTATACAAAGTTACACTCATAAACAATTTTAGCTTATTTATCTTTCTTAGAAGATATGCCTTTTCAAAAGGATAGGATAATATGACAATGAAATTACAAAGTTCGGAGACATTATTGTTAATCGTTAGGAATGGAAACATATAAGGGGTGCTATGGGCAGCATAGAGTACTGTATGACGTCCGTGATGCTATTTATGACTAGGCGATGGTTACCACTTTTCACCAAGTGCAATTTACAGGGTACAGAGGAATAATACTTTAGTTCTCAGGAATGGCAATGCATGGAGGGTATCATGGGCGAAACAGTATACTCTGTTATGTCCATGGCACTGCTCATGTCTATAGGCGACGGTTACCACTTTTCAAGCAGATGGCCCACCTCCATCTGCTTGTTTGCCATTCTAAGTTGCATAAAAAAAGTGGGTAGTTGCATGATTTGTTATATGATTTCGATATTTCATAATAAAAAATAGAAGCTACAATACCTGACTCCAGAGCATCATCTCGAACCTGCTCCTTCGAATGCTGCTGTATCCCGTGCCTGGTCTGCGGCATCACCTCTTCATCACCCAGCTGCATCCGCAGCATCTTCATACGTCCACCGGCGTACTGTGGAATGAAGGCGGCAGCCCCACGAGACCTGATGTTGTCAATTATCGGCGCTGTGTCGACCTCTTGGTCAGTGCTCATGAAGAGTGAGATCCTTTTTGATGACTTGTAATATGGGTGGTTGATGAGCTGGGAACGTAGGTATAAAAATCTTAAATCCGATCCTTAGGAGTTTTATATTTATGACATTCAAAATGGCAAACAAGCTAATAACCCACTTAGTAGGAAGTGGTAGGGGGGAAGCGTATGTTAGTAATGGGTATTAACAACCCCATTACTAACAATATACCCTGTTAGGTCGACCTTCACGTGGTCTCCCCTGGCAACTACCGTGCTGAATTCCAAGTGTATTCATCACGATCTTTTCATTTTCACGTATCATCCCTCACTGGTGCCCCGCCAGCGTATACTGTTAGCGTGGGTGGGGTTGCCATTCCATTATTATCCATTAAAAAAATACATAAAGTTTTTATAAAAAACAAATTATCTGGTCACAGATGGCCTTGACAGCTTCACCGGGCGCGTGTACAGGGACGAGTGCAAATGGCACTCCAAGCCTGCTAGAGGGGAGCGACAGAGTATCACCGTTCCAAAAAAATAGGAAATGGTGGGAGGAGAACACATTGTTAATAATGAAGATTAATAACCCCATTGTTAGCAATAAACCTTATCTAGTCTACCTCCTCGCGGCTTCCCTGGGAACCATCGTGATTGATTTATCGTTGCATTCGTTACAATGGGCTAACTGACTTGCTTCATCCTTACCTATTATCCTTCACTGGCCCCCAAGTATACCGATAGCGTATTCCACTATCATACATTTAAAAAATAAGAAGTGGTTTTGGGTTGGAGTAGCACATATGTAGGCAATAATATACTTAATAATGGTTTACAAGTAATACAAAAAGCCACTTCAGTATTTGTATACTAAGAAATAAATAAATAATTGTACCAATTGTGGAATGACAGATAACAGGTGACCTGTCTTTGGGTTATCACAAGAATACCTCGTTATTTACATTTATATATTATGACATAAGAAAAAAGTAGTACGATGCGTGCAGTCAACGATTAATATTTTTAACTATCAATAATAACTTAGGTGATATAAAAAATAATCATCGAAATCGGTTTCGATCAATGCCGTGTAATTTAGTTATACTTACTAAAAACAATACTAAATACAACTTAAAAGTAGTAGAAGTTCTGCAGTTCGTTAAAAATATTATTAACATATTTGTACCGTACATTCATTTGATTAATAAAGTTATTTAAACAAATAAACATAGGTGTATTTAAGGAGCGAGGGGGTTACGTGGTCTGTGCACAATCTGAAATAGTTGGGGGGAAAAGGGATTGTTAGTAATGGAGACTGAGAATCCCATTGCTAGCAATATACCCAACCAGGTTGACCTCCTCATGGTTCAAACTATCATGGTTAATTCCTGATCAATTCATCATGATGGGCTAACTGGCTTGCTTTCATTCGCATCGATCACCCTTCACTGGTGCTCAGCCAGCGTGTCCCGTTAGCGCAGGTGGGGCAACCATTCCATTTTCATCCATTACAAAAAAAAAACCTGTAATAGTTCGATGACTATCCTAGGATGCGAGCGAAACTTCACAAAGACATATTTGAGAGTACATAATTATATATCTTTTTTATATTTTTATTTTATATATTAACCCTTTAACCGAGAATTTTTTTTTTTCACGACAATAAAACTCATCGCTTTGGCAACAAATAGCAGAACAAGTATTTAGCCATCTAGCGAGATTCTTAGAAACAATATCAATCTACCAAAACAAAAATCGCGGGATAACAACGTCAATAAACATAAAAAATACGAGCACGTCGAAATCGCGGGATGCGTAAAATTAAACTAGTAGATACTTCACGCGGAAATCGCGGGATGCCCGGTCAGAGGGTTAAATTCATATTAGGGATTGGTTACCTTCTGATAAACTATCTCGGACTGTCTCTTCTTCTCTTCTGGAGACAGGGCTGCGATTTTCTTCGATATCTCATCACGTAGCGCCAATTTGGCTGGATTCGGCTTTGCTTTACTCATTTTACTAAATCTGAAATAGATTTGAAAATGTATTTATATACAAGAGTATATATGGTATGGCTAACTGACCTGCCTTTTCATTTTCAGCTCTCATCCATCACTGGTGCCCCGTCAGCGCATACCGTTAGCGCAGGCGGAGTTAACATTCTATTACCATCCATTAAAAAAACATATGAAAGGAAGTGTTTTGATACATATTTAGATTCTTACTACGAAAACGTATGTATCTATTTTAACGTACAAACAAAACAAAGTCTGTTAATAAAATGAAAGGTATTTAAAAAAAATATTATTACAATAGTTCATAGATTTTGATGCATAAAATTATTAAAATTTATTACACCGACAAAATAGTTTTTAATGTTGTGTTTAAGTCTGTTAATATAGACAGGTCTTTAAATCATTTATGTAATAAGACAAATTATACTTAAAAGTTCGTCCATTAGGTATAGAACACATGAATGCATACCAGAGAGATCTTTACGAAATTTATAAAAATAACTTATTTAATTTCTACTATAAATAATACATAAATACATATACTGTAATATCTATATATACAATCTAGTACCATAAGTAATCTTATATACTTATAGATCATTATTTTTATTTCACTTCAAATGTTTACACTCCTAATGCCATCTATCGACAAGAACCCGCAACAAATTCGACTATTATTTATATTATCTGTGCCCCTACTCTCAGGTAAACATTAGGTCTACACACGAAATTAAAATATATTAAGTTAAAAATGTAATAATGTAAATAAATATGCATATTTAATTAATAAATTGAATTTAAACTTACTTCATTATTTGAATCCACCGCATTACAAATTACTACGTTATCAGGCGCGCGTGTTGACGTGGGGTCTACTAAGTACTAATAATCAAGAAACAATAACAGAGCATTGATATAGTTTTTTGTTTGCCAGAAAGCGTAATACACGGTCATTGTGTAATTATAATTAGTGATTGAGTAATATTGGATTCGTTACGATATTTATACAGTATTTTAATTAACTTAACGTATTTTTTAACACTGGTCACTATTTTTTTTGGTAATTTTTTTTTCTACATTTTTTATATTACACTAAGGTTAATAGACAATACAAACGTATATATCTATTATTATGTAATATCGTTGGTACAGACTACAGATACAGGTTGTTCTTTTTTTTAGAGAATTTTAATTTATTTTTTAGTTTTTGGTAATATAAAAAATTTTGCCCCCCATTATTATTACCAGAAGTTCCACAACCTTCCATATCATATCATATCACCCATCTGCTACTGCCATTTTGTTATGTATTTTGTAATTAAAAGATTTTGGGGGGAAAGGGATTGTTAGCAATGGAGTTTGACAACCCCATTGCTAGCAACATGCCCTATTAGGTCGACCTCTACGTGGTTCCCCCTGAAAACCATCGTGAACAATTCTTGTTGAATTCGTCACGATGGGCTAACTGAGCTGCTCCACCCTCACCTATCATCCCAGGTGCCCCGCCAGTGTATCAATAGCGCAGGCGGGGTTACCATTCCATTATCACATATTAAAAAAAAAATTAAAAGATTTTTAACAAAGACAATTGCTCTAAGATCAATTCAAGATAATTATTTCGGAAAATCTAGTATACAGAATATAACCAAAAATTAAATGTAATATTGAATTAATGTGAATACAGTGAACCTTGAATGACGTGTTATCTTATTTATCTATCTCGACGTCACGTCTGCGTGTAAGCGGGATAGAAAATAGTAATAATAATAATAAAACATGCGTCAAATCCGAATAATTTGCTTTGATATTCATGGCGCAATCTATTTTACTACATCGCTTCTTGATTTAGCCATATAATTTTATTTCACTGTAATCCACTAAGATTATCAACTTTAGGGCCTTAATCTTAGCTATTAATCTATGGTAATCCAATTCAATTACGTTATTTGAACACCATCTTGATTACCTCCGCACAATAGCTGTTTTATTTCTTCTAGAATACCCTTAGGATAAGAACCAAGGGTACCATTTATGTGCCAGTAGCTATTTCCCGCGGCTTTGCTCGCGAAGTATCCTATATGCTAAATTAGGATATAATCTAACGGTATAAAATTCTATTCAATCCCATTAAAAGAAATCTTTCACACATTTGAAAAAATCTATTCAAATGCGTGAAACAGTAATAAAAATTCATACTCTTATTTCATCTTTCTTTTATTGTAATATACATATAAACAAATCGCCGTTCGTTAGTCTCGCTAAAACATAAAAACGGCTTGACCTAATTTTTTTTTTTTTATTGTATTATTCGTTGTAATATAGGAATGGTTGTAAAGAAAAAGGAATTGTAAAACCCCTTAAGTCCCCTAAAAATTAAAATAGGTAATTTTGTAAGAGATGACATTGACAGGATTTCTTAACCCTACGAAGGCCTCGGGACGGACCCCTTTGCCCCAATTTCAACTCCGGGGTGACTAATCCTAGGTCACTTGATCTAAGTCTTCCTTGAGATAAGGCGTGGATAAAGAAATCATAATATAAGGGAAGGAATTGTTAATAATGTAGACTGTCTATCTATCCTATTTAAGAGCTGCGCTCTTGTCGGTGGAGCTCTTGCCACTCACTACGATTTTCAGCGAGTCTCTTCACCTCTTGATACGACACGATAATGTAGAGTACCAGAACAAAATTATATTAAGACATTTGTCGTTACTTCTAGTAATAATTATTTTATTAGAAAAACACATACTGACAAATCGTAAAGTCTAAGTTTGTGTTTTAATAGGAGAATAAAAATATTGGGCCGTTTTTGGCGAAGTGTTTTTAGAGAAACGCTCTATTTAAATGTTATTAATTCAAGAGTGATTTTGAAATAATGTTATATTAAAACATATTACACGAATAATAACACCAATAGACAGCAGTAGAAATATAAAAGATTGTAAAGAAACCTTTTACAATGAAGACGAATTTAAATTTGATAGTAAGGTCCCGTTGTACTCATAGAAATAGGCCACCCTTTATTTTTCCCGTGGGTATTGTAAGAGGCGACTAACTGAATTAAATGGTCGAGAGATGGGCAGCAGCGTCCCTCTTAAACATTACTAAAAGCTATTAAACTCAACTGCAGTTGCCAATCCACCCATCAAGGTACTAACCCACTACCAATTACTGGCAAAACTCCCTTTATGGCAGAGGCCATGTTCAGCAGTGGACAGTTAACGGCTGATATAATCATAAAACTCAGATACACAGACGTAATAATGATAATAATTGATAACAATCACAGACCTAGACAGTGATAGATGCTGTAAATATCTGAAATATGAAACCTGTTAAATAAACGCCTCGCATTTAAACATGATGTGACAAAAGTTACCTATTTCTTGATAGCAAACCCCTTACGCACTTAACTATTTTAATAACACCCTGTTTAGTGCTGTTATTGACAACAAGATTTTTTTTTTCTAATAAAAACTGCAATTAAGTATTTAACCTAATTCTGAACATTAGACCTTATGCTAATCTAATTTAAGGTTTAAAAATAGACGTACAAAATACACGCAGTTGCGGAATCTATTTAAAGCCGTATCTGTAATATAATTATTATTAAAAGATAACAACTTGCCCGAGTCTAGTCTAGTCGACGAGTTTCCCCTTCCAGTAACACAATAAAACTGTTAAATCTGTCTGATTTTAACACGTGATCGGAGATGATAACCCATTCATTCATTTTATATATATCACGAAATCATTAGGTACTTATTTCATACATGACAGAATTAGATAAAAATGTCACAGTATTTTTTTTTTAAATATTTAAGTAAATATGGGATCTTAGCTGTCTAAATACCTAAGTATTTATAATGCAAATAAAAATGTTGTATTGAAAAAATAGTGAATAGCGCCATCTATACTTTTATACCTAAACTAAATTATATTTATGTTTAAGCTGCTGCTGATAACAAAAAGGTAATTCTATTGATACTTAGATGTCGCTAGTTGTAAATACAGTAATAAAACTAGTTTTTATTCGTAGTTTTTCAAGGTAAAAATTAGATACATAAACAGATTTAGTTGTCTTTTTATTCTAAAATTAATAATTTTAACATTTAAACATTAATAATGGGATCATACAGTATACTCAGGTATCTTCATGGTTATCATTTTCCATCAGGTGGGCCGTCAACTTATTTGCCATTCTGAGTTGCACAAAGAAATCAACAATCGGTTCAGAATTGACACGTAATCGTGTAATATATGTTGTAAATAGCAGGATGCAGCAATAAAACATATATGTATTTGAGATATAAAATAATAAGTTTAGTGAAAAAAAAAACAAGACATGTCTTATAAAAATCTGACATAGAACAAACTTAAAAATAATACATTGTTCTAAAAAACCTCAGTGTCAACAGCCAGTATTAAAACTTCAACAATATATTCATAAAAAAAGTCGATGAATCAAATCGAAAAATCCTTCTATTCTTGTATGTCATTCAGTTAGTACTTTGATACAAAATATAATAAGATGTTAATGGGGCAGGTACTTTATATTTTTATATAGAATTCTATGGCATTATATAAAATCAAGGTGAATACAAGGTGTTATAAGCTGACTGATGGTTTATGTGGATAAAGATAAGGTTATGTGCAAAGTGATAAAAAAAAATGGCGCGTAAAATGCCACGTGATCTGAGATTTAAAAAAAAACACTGGTCAAGTGTGTGTCGTGTAGGTAATTATATTCATAATTTTTTATCTTTATTTCGTACTGGCGATCCGATCCGGCTTCGTACGTTTATATAGAATTTTCGAAAATAATATATAGCCTGATACCCGCTGATGATGAAGCTTTCTATAGGTTTTTTATACAACTTAGAATGGCAAACAAGCTGACGGCCCATCTGATGAAAAGTGGTAGGTGAAAGAATTTTAAAAATCGATTGAGTAATTTTGAGTTTATCCTATACAAACTAACATTTTTTTTTTTATTTTTTATAATATATTTTTTTTTTGATGGGTGAAAATGGTATGGTAGCCCCACCTGCCTTAACGGGATACGCTGGCGGAGCACCAGTGAAGGGTGATAGATGAGAATGAAAATAGGCCAATTAGCCCATCATGATGAATTCATCACGAATTAACCATGATAGTTTCCAAGGGGAACCGCGTGGAGGTCGACCTGGTTGGGTATATTGCTAGCAATGGGATTCTCAGTCTCCATTACTAACAATCCCTTTCCCCCCACTTTTTATAATATTAGTATAGATTATACAAAGAGAATTAGTGAATATACGAATAGTTGGTTCGGGACCGTTCCTTATGGCAGTCTATGGGGGAGGTCTATGTTCAACAGTGGACAATTAACTGCTGAGATGATGATGACGATGATACAAGGTGAAATAGAAATTATTCAATAGGGTCCTATTTTACAGTTACTATTTCTTACTAGAATAATCGAACATTTTTCTTTTTGAAATATATTTATATAAAAAAAAACTACTGTATCATTAGTTAATTATATACATACTATATAATAAATAATACTATATAATAAATAAATATAATATACCTCATCATCTATCAGATCCAACAATATTGCTAGTTTTTTTTTTTTATCTTCTTTGTCCTCTAAATTTTTTTAAATACTGTTATAATAATAATAAAATATTATAAAAATGTACTTTTCAGACGACGCAATCCGTACTTATAAGAACTTTTTTTTATTGGAAGAAAATGAAATGGTAACCCCGCCTGCGTTAACGGAATACGCTGGCGAGGTACCAGTGAATGGTGATCGATGAGGATGAAAACAGGCCAGTTAGCTCATCATGATGAATTCATCTGGAATTAATCATGATAGTTTCCAGAGGGAACCGCGAGGAGGTCGACCTGGCCATATTGCTAACAATGGGATTTTCAGTCTCCATTACTAACAATCCCTTCCAATCCCATTGATGGACGCATGTGTGCCTCGACTACACCTCGGCCCACATTTGCACGTTCGTCCATCAATGCCTCAATTGCTGGCCGCTGCAGTAATGTACTATATAATTATTTCTGTATTTATATTGTTGATTCTATTAAAGTTAAAATTTTTCGGGATTGCCTGATCAGCAATGATCACTATGTCAATTTTATATTCCTTTTTTTATATTAATACCCGCCCACTATGCACTTTTTATTATAACAGATTGTGATTTGTTAATCTTTGTCGGGTGCCCACGATACAGGTTTGCCTGGTGTGGGGCATTATACTGTTTATATCTGTCTGTTTACTGTATAGATAATTTGGTAGTATTATTTTATTGTTACCCTATTCCCTTTGGCCGCACCAGAATATCAGTGCTTTGCTCTTTTAAAGGCGAAGCAATAAACTGAGTTGTGACCATTTTGTATTGTTATGGCACACGCACAAAAGAAAATTGTACTTGGCTTTATATATATTTTATTTTAACATTTATGTTATCTCGCTTTTTATATATATTTATATATGTTATAATTTATGTGTTGTAAGTAATGCAAATAAATTATCTATCTATCTATCTTGTGTTTGTAACTTTGTGTTTTTGTCAAATAATAAACTTTTATTTATATTTATTTTTATTTATGCATACATATTTAATATACCACGCCCATTTACAGTTTTTATTTTATCATCCCTTCTATGTAATTCCTTGTTTTTAAGGTAAAAGTTGATCATCTATACTTATAATAAATCTGTATAGAGGTCAATTCTGTACATGAAATATATTTCCAAAATAACTATCAGGGGCTGATTAGCGGCCGATACTGATACCAAAAATGCAATTAGTAAAATTTTTGTCTGTCTGTCTATCTGTCTGTATGTTCGTTATAGAAAACAAAAACTACTCGACGGATTTTAACGAAACTTGGTACAATAATTCTTCATACTCCTGGGCAGGTTATAGTATACTTTTCATCACGCTACGATCAATAGGAACAGAGCAGTAAAGGGAAATGTTGGGAAAACGGGAGAAGTTATTCCATTTTTAAGCTTCCGTCGTGTGTGCAGCCTTAACGGCCACTTTTTAAAATGTAAAAATGTCCACCCGTGCGACGCCGGGACGGGCCGCTAGTACGTAATAAATATATTTGTTGCCATATTGCACACTCCGTTGAACCAAAATAATGAAAAAGAAATGAAGTACGGCCGGGGGCTTGTAGTACTTGTAAGGTCACTCACAGAAGATGTACTGTAGAGCACCTACAATATATCAAAGGGAAGTAACTTTACGCGTTGCGTTGTTCGGTTCGGTTATTTCGTAATTTTACCATCACACGTTTCATTTTGAACTTTATACTTGTTGTAATAAAGCTGATTTTAGAGTGGAGTGAAGGTTATATACTTCATTAGACAATTTCATGCGCTTCCTGACCGTTATGAAAAAAATATGAGTAGGTATATTTTTATATGGTAAAAGACAGAGCTACAAAAAATATGATTAAATTATTAAAAACAAAATGGTGAAACATTTACTAATTTTTATTTCTATCTATCCTATTTAAGAGCTGCGCTCTTGTCGGTGGAGCTCTTGCCACTCACTACGATTCTCAGCGAGTCTCTTCACATCTTGATACGACACGACACCAACTCCTTCCTTGATCTGCCTGATGTAACTATGCCTTAGTCTCCCTCTTTCCTTCTATTTTACCTTCTATTATAATGTTCATAAGTTCGTCGTGCCGGGGGGAAAGAATTGTTAGTAATGGAGACTAAGGGCCCAATTGCTAGCAATATACTCAACCAGGTCAACCTGTACATGGTAACTATCGTGCTGAATTATAGGTGTATTCATCACGATGGGCTAACTGACCTGTCCTTTCATCTTCATTTATCATCTCTCACTGGTGACCCGCCGGTGTTTACCGTTAGCACGAGCGGGGTTTACCATTTCATTATCATCCATTAAAAAAAAAAGTTCGTCGTGTCGTAGGTATTTATTTATTTATTTATTCATTAGTACAAATATGTGTACATGGCGGACTTAATGCTAAAAGCATTCTCTCCCATTCAACCATAGGGAAGTGTCAGAATACTCGATTACGGTAATAGTAATTATTGATATACATACATACTAAAATTACATATATAAACGAATAAATATATATGAATAACAAATATACTTACACATATATGACATATACTATATTATACACGAAATTGAAAATAATATAAAGCACTTACTGCTCGGATAAAGTAAAAAAGTGAGCGTGCACGTTTCTTTTTTTGAAAGACGGTTAAGTCGATAATCTCTTAATGGCATCAGGAAGCGCGTTCCAGAGTCGTAAAGAATGTAGGAGAAAAGAGTTTGAAGCGTAACCAGTACGGTGAGAGGGGAAATCGTATCAAGTGTCCCAACATTTTTTCCCTTCTGACCTCAATAGTTCTTATAATTTGTTTTTTTTCCTTAAGCTTAAGTAAAACCTCATTACGAATTCGCTTTTTCCAGCTAATTTTTATTTGAATAATTTAAATTTGTGTTCTACAAAAGGAAGAAAAAAAAAAGAAAACCGACCGCGTCTTTACTAAATAGATAGATAGAAATAAATGTCGCATATGCCAGAAATAGTTGTCCTTTGTTTGTGTTTGTGTTCATTCGACGTGTTACCTCCGCTAGGGATATGTTAATCAGTTTACCCGGCCGTCTTTACCATAGACGTCTATAAATATAGATGACGCAAGTGTCATTTATATACATATGCATTAGCATATCCTTAGTGAAAGGAACACGATGAATGTTTATCCTAAAACAAACAA